ACAAAGCCACGGATTGTTCACGCCCGACTAAGACATCATTGGTCAAGTGGTGGTCACGTGACGCACGAAGGAGGAGGAAAGATACCCGACCAAGACCTCATTGGCCGAGTGGTGATCACGTGACGCACGAAGAAGGCTGTCGACGCCCCATCCAGAGTATAAGTATGAGAAGCTGCTACAAAGAATTGGGGAGGGCAGTTCACGCTCCTCAGAGGTATGGTGAGAAAGTGGGAGTGAGTAAAGTTTCCCAAAAATGGAAAAGAGTGGAAAATCCCTAACCAGAAATAAAAGAGGTGGATATGTATTTAGAATTATCGAGGAACCCCCCGACGCCAACAGACCCAACCCGGTTTTTGTCGGCGGCAATAAAAGCCAGGCCCCAACAGGCAGAAATCAGTTCGGGCTCGAGTTTCCAGAGTTGAGTTCCCAGAGTCAGTCTCCAGTTGAAACCGCCTCGGAGATAGCTGACCAAGATTCACGCAAATTTAGGACTCCTCTTCAACCCAAGAACAATTATTTTGAAGAGCGACTTAGAACCAGACCACCGAAATAAGTTTTTTTTCGACTTTCGTCCAAGGACACACCAAAACACCAATTTCTTAGAGAGCAGACAACTTGAAGCGTTAAAACTTGCCTAGCGGAAACGACGTGTCACAACCCACAGAACGGGTCGGGAGATAGATGCAGTCCTATGCATCGAACAACTAGACATAAAGTTTGTTACCTTTTTCTTTGATACTTTGAACTTTTTGAGTTTTCATTTTATTTTCTTTTATGCATAATTGTGTAGTATCACCCCCGTTGAACTCAATTTGCATTACGGCCCCAACCACTGTTTGATCTCGTCTGTCTAAAATCAATTCACAACGTGGGTAGGCAAACTGGAGATCAATGCAGTTACCTTGGTAACCAGGCGTTGGAAGCGAGTTGGGAACGACGAGGCTGATATCAAATCTAACCAGATTCCCACCCGAATCACCAAAAGGTTAGAACGTCACATTTGGGTGCCGCGACCGATACCAAGCCAGTTGGTCGTCACAGGACAAGACAACACGACTGACGCGACAGGCGGACGTCACGTTTGAAGCAGCGAGGAGCGAACAGCTGGCGCCGCGGCGAGGACGTCACAATTGGTGCTGTTTGGGGACGTCACAACTGGCGCCGTGGTAGATCAGGATAGAACGTCACAGTTGGTGCTGCGGCCGGGGGACGACGTCACAATGTTAAATATCTAAAAAGAAAAAAAACTCTAAACTAATTGAATTTTTTTTATGTTATCAGATAAGAAGTTTAGTTATCTTGAAACCGTTTTGAAAAAACCCTTTGAGTTATTCAGCTAAAAAGAGTGCAGATTAAAATCGTTTTGTGTTACACCCACTGTCTTCCCAATCTGAGCAATAGTGAGAGGAAAAAGATCATTCATGCCTTCAATAATGGCACTGACTATCATATTCTTGCTTCCATCTTCAAAGTCCATCAAACGGTGAATAAGTTTAAAAAAGAGGGAACAGTACAGAGAAAAAGTGGATCAGGAGGTCACAACAGAAAGATTGATCAACATTTCAACTTAGAGCTAAAAGATCAATTAGAAAAATTCAACTCAATCCAAAGAAATTTGGCACACAAGAAAAGAGTTTCAGCAATGACTGTTTAAAGAATTGAAAATGAAATCGTACGAGAAACGTGTGAGGCAACTGGTTACTCCAGGACAGAAAGTTAGTAGGTTAGAGAGGGCGAAGGTCATCTTGAATAAGTCGGAAAATGATGCTGGAATATATATATATATATATATATATGAATTTTATTTCCATACTTCATAAACTTATGATCCTTAGCTAAGATTAATTAATGATGAACATGTCTTTTTCATTTATGATCGATTTTATCACGATCCTTCCGATAAGTTTGAAGAGTAATTAATTCTAATTCCTCAAAGTAGAGTCCAATAGTTCTATAAAAACGTCAGAAAATTCCAGTAAGATATATTTAATCATTTCTAAGTTATAACCGTTCAAAGCTTAATCTAGCAAATGGACAATTTTATTCTTACATGATTTGGACAATTTCGCTGTTACAATCCACCATTTCCAGCCTTGATAGAGTTCGAAATCTTTTCCGCTGTCTTGTTGAAGAAAACATTCTCCACATTGCAGCCTCTTTACTACATACATAACGTTTCAAAGCCTATCCCTATTTTGTCGATATTTAAATGGCAAATATTCTAATGAGCTCAATTATTTAGCCACCCTAGTTCAGAAAGTTACTGCTGAGGCATGATGCCAATTGTAATAATGTAACCATTTGGAACATAATGATAATGCATGCCTTACATTAAAATAATTTTGATATAATGGAATATGCATACACCTGTGCTCTCCCTCACTGAAATATGATTGGCTGGTGTCCGTCATAAATACAGACGGACGTGTAGGTACGACAGAGTTTAAGTCTATGACGACGCCCATTGGACTACGCCATTGGCTATCCTATTGGTCTACACCTATTACCTGCGACTACAACGAGTACCAATCGATTACTGCTACCGTATTCTACTTGGTTATAGTAACCAAAACCCCTTAGCTACTTCGATCAAATATATCCCTTTCCGGGACATATCATATATATAATTATTAATTAAAGAATATCAAACACCTTAAAGCCCATAGGTAATCATTTTTATTGGTTTATGGACTTGAAGACTGAGAACTGCTGTTTTTTAGAGCTCACATGAAATAAACATTATTACCTATGGGATTTTAAGTGTTTGATATTCTTTAATTAATAACAATTTTGCTCTGTCTTTGTGACATAAAGCTCTGCATATATATATATATATATATATATATATATATATATATATATATTCATGAATTATTCATTCAAAAACAAATGCAAAGGTTAATGATTTAATTGGCGAGAAATGAAAAGGGGTTTTTTGTATATTATTTGAATTGTTTACGACGATGGATTTCTCGCCAATTAAATCATTAACCTTTGCATTTGTTTTGTATGAATAATTCATGAATTTGTAAATTGATTGCACTTTTTTGTAATTAAAATAACTGATCCAAGTGCGACTTTTGGATAATAAGTGCGACATTACTGTAATTATTGAACAATATAGTTCATGCCACTTTTGACAGAAAATTTACCAGTAAAAATTCGCTTATCACCATATTTGTACAAGAACGCACAACTGTAAAATTTAAAATCAAACTCAGCGTTGCTACTGCACGCTCCAAAAACAATAACTCATTTCCAATAGCATTTTTCGGATACAACAATACATATATTTTCGTTGTCTTCTTATTACTGAGAGAAAAAACAAGAACAACATCTAGTCCATACCTGAAGATGTCTGTAGGAACAGATGAAAGCTTGTAGTAAAAATAAGAACTAATGCAGCAGAAATTTATAGAAACAAGGATCTTTTCATTCATAACAGGTTCAGGTTTTTGTATATTATTTGAATTGTTTGCGACGATGGATTTCTCGCCAATTAAATCATTAACCTTTGCATTTGTTTTTGTATGAATAATTTATGAATTTGTAAATTGATTGCACGTTTATCGAAATATATATATATATATATATATATATATATATATATATATATATATATGATATAATGGAATATGCATACACCTGTGTTCCCCCTCACTGGAATATGATTGGCTGGTGTCCGTTATAAATACCGACGGACGTGTAGGTACGACAGAGTCAGAGCCTTAGTCTGAGAGCTAAGTCTATAACGACGCCCATTGGACTACGCCATTGATCTACACTTCTTACCTGCGACTACGACGCGTACCAGTCGATTACTGCTACCGTATTCTACTTGGTTATAGTAGCCAGAACCACTCTGCTACTGCGATCAAATATATCCCTTTCCGGGACATATCAAATTATAAAATAATTGGCGAGAAAATCTTACTTTTTTTAATATTCCAAGGTAATAACAGGTGAGAGGCATATTGATAATGATGAGATATCTGGAAATTAAAACCAGTCGCCATATTTACCATTATAAAGATTTTGAGGTCTTTCCGCACAGAAATAATATATGTTTTATAATTTGTCATTACTGACCCTGACTGGGCACCTCGGCATGGTGTGATGGTTAACAAGCTTGTCTCGCTAGATCAGTTACGACTGAAAAATGAGTTCGATCCTCAGTAGGTGCCCATACTTTCGGTTTTGTGCCAGATCTAAGCTACGCTTAGAAAATAAAAATTACTAAGCCTGATGATTACAGAATATATTTTTCCAGTGGAATAAGAAGGTTGTTTTGTGCTGATAAAAGTTTTAAAGGCTAAACAGGGGAAAAATAAATTAGAAAGGAAAAATTCGTGATCCTCGTAAAGAAGAAAAAACGTATGTTAAAAAAAATAAATAGCATACCTTATTCGGTGATTTCATTCAAAGGAGGGTCACATTAGAAAGTTGTCCCTTAAACAGTGCTGCTTTGAAAGCCATTAAAAAAAATTTTGCTTGTGGAAATAGTGAGTAAATAAAGCAGAGAAAGGAAATTGTGAAAATCGTGACAATAATTTTACTTGAACAAAGTGAACACTGAACAATCTCCTCACAGATGCAACGAAAACTTGAAGAAACGGAAATGTGCTTCTATAGAAAGATGCTAAGAATTCCATGTACGGCGAGCGTAAGCATCGAAGTCATATGGAAAATGGTAACAAAAAGGACACTTATACACAGCATCAGAAAGAGACAGTTGAAATTTCTTGGACACGACGAGGATATAGAATTTGACGCTCACAGGACTGTCGAATGAAAGTGAGAGGCAGCGAGCCAACTACCTGACGAGCTTGTATAAATGGATGGCCGGCTGGAGGTGCCGGCCTTGGCAATGGATCAAACATCGCTAAGGGCTGCAAGAGATAGGAGGTTATAGAGAGCCGTGATTGCCCACGAGCTGAAAGGACAGCGCATAGAAGAAAAATGATATTAGAATCGACTTATTGTAAAGTTAACTTCACAGAATGTCTCACAAATGTCAATTCAATCAAGTACTGTGTGCAAGATACACTTTCTTTTTTATCTATCCCCCTCTCTCTCTCTCTTCTTCTTCTTCTTCTTCTTCTTCTTCTTCTTCTTCTTATGAATCCCTCATTCTCTTTTACTCTTTCAATTTTATGACCAATCTATTTCTCTTTCTCCCTTTTTTTATCAATCTCATTCTCTTTCAATCTTCTTACCCCCTCTCTCTTTCTCTACTTTTTATCAATTTCTCATTCTCTTTTTTCTGTTCCAATCTTCTTGCCTCCTCTTCCCCACTCCCCGTTTACCTTTTCTCTTTCAATTTTCTTACCACTCTCTCTTTCTCTCCTTTTTATCAATCCCTATATTCTATTTTTCTCTTTCAATTTTCTTACCTCTCTCTGCGTTTCTCCCCCTTTTTTTTTTATCAATCTCTAATTCTCTTTTTCGCTTTCAGTTTTCTTACTCTTTCTCTCTCGTTTTTATCAATCTCTTTCTCTTTTCCTCATTCAATTTTCTTATTCCTCTTTCGCCTTTTTATCAATCACTCATTTTTTGTCTTTTTACTTTCTTATACTTCTCTCTCACTCTCTTTCCTTTTATCAATCTCGCATTCTTTTTTCTTTCTATCTATTTATTTTTTTGCTTTCATTCTATCATCTTTCCTCCTTTTTCCAATCTTTTTCATTACGTTTCGTCTTTCCACCGTCGTTCAGACATTACATCGTACGAAGATTCTTTGCTCCTTCTTCACTCACTCTATATATTTCAGCCTCTCTCTCTCTCTCTCTCTCTATATATATATATATATATATATATATATATATATATATATATATTTATATATATATATATATATATATTCTCCTTCTTATTTCATCTTCCATCTCTTTTGCAATCTTATTATTGCTTCCTTTTTCCCAGTATTCCTTCCGTTCACATTATTTTTCCTTCTTCGTTTCTCACTTGTTTTCTTCTTCTCCCTCCTCCTCTCTCTCTCTCTTCTCTCTCTCTCTCTCTCTCTCTCTCTCTCTGTCTCTCTCTCTCTCTATATATATATATATATATATATATATATATATATCGTTCTTGTACACAAACACAGAAACACAAACTTTTATAAATCCACACAAAAATCTTTATTCTTACATGTTTTTAATCTTCCACTATTAATTTACCTATATCGCGCTCTTCATTCTTATACAAGGTTATCTATCCTGAAATCGATATATACATATATATATACAAAATCTGACATACCTATACGACAGTTCAAAATTTTGAATCCACCCCCAGAATTAGCATTGGATTAACTTGACAGAAGAATGAAAAAAGAAAATGAAAAAAACCTCTCAAAATCATTGACAAAAGAATTAAATCAATTATTAAACTTATACATTGAGAAAGTTTTAAAATGAATGCCAAAAATTTGTACGGCGGCCATCAAAGCTTGAGGAGAATATTTTGACGAGATTTAATCAAAAATTGTTTTTTTCTTTCCTTTTTGTCATAATAATGTCAAATAAAAAATCATGTCTGACTTTTTTAACCATGTATAATATACTTTTGGGGCCAATTTTAAAAAATTACCAGAGATCGTCTCAAATTTTTGAACTGGAGTGTACATCAAATAACTAAACTCAGCCTTTCTTGATACAACATTTAGGGCACCTCGAGGTAGTGTAATGGCTAGCAAGCTTGTCTCGCTAGAACAATTACGATTGAGTAGTGAGTTCGATCCTCACTGGGTACCCCCTACTTTCGGCCTTGTGCCACATCTAAGCTACGCTGGGAAAATCACTACAACATATATATTTATCAATCTCTTTAATTTATCTGTTAAGTTATAGTTCTCATCTACGAAGGATGTCTGAAACCTCTGCCATAAACAATTGTAAGGGATGTCTAAAAAGTAAGGTACAAATACTTTCAATGGATGCCGGAAAATTCAGGTACAAACAATTGCAAGGATTGTCCTAAAAGTAACGTACAAATATTTACAAGAGATGCTCCTAAATTCTTTTACAGACAATCACAAGTGATATCTGAAAATTATGGTAGAAATGTTTATGAAGGATGTCCGAAAATTTAGGTACAAACAATTGCCATAAATGTACGAAGAATATGGTATACATAATAGTGAATAGTCCGAATAATGTAAATAGTGTACATAATACCTCATCTCAGAAATATAGACAGATACGGATGTCCAAAAATTCAATAAGAAGTTTATATAAATCGCGAGTGTAGACAGTATGACCAAAGGTAACAATACTTTATGAAACTGAAATAGCGTGCAGTGTTGATTCCTATGTCCACACTATCTGTATATATAAACGCTCTATCTGGGATACTGAGCATTCGTCTCCGATAAATAAAGCAAATTTTAAACGGTATTCATTTGAACAAAAATGTTAAATACCACGCACTGCAATTCTCTAAAAACCCGAAGTTATTTATATACAAAAGAATCACCTATCATTAATTACAATATAAAAGTATTAAGTGTGTATAAGATATTTCATGTGCATTTAACAATAATAATATCTGCAAAATATTTAATATAATCTCTTTCCGGCGCAATAGAATTCTTTGATGATCTCTTAATCTTTATATGTCGTGTACCCTCAGGGGATGTAGGCGATCATGGCTCTCCACAATTTCCTGTCATTTGTACCTCTTAAAAAAACTGTAAAAAAACTGATAAATGAAGAAGCAAATAAAGGTAAACAGTGGAATTAATCTTGAGAGAGAGAGAGACTTTTAACAAACTAAAAAATGATGTGTACTATCAAGATGTAGGCGATCATGGCTCTCCACAATTTCCTGTCCTTTGTAGTTCTAAATAAATTTTGTCTTATCGTTATTCCTCCTAAACCCTGTTCCGCCATTTACTTAAGCTCATCAAATACGTTATGCGTTGTTTTAATGTGTCCCTTTTACCATCAATCTTTCCTGTGAGTATCAGATTTTCCGAGCCATCTTTCCTCATCATATACCCTAGAAATTTCAACTGCCTCTTTCTTTATGTTAACTATAAGTTTCCTTTTTGTTTCCATTTTATCTAAAATTTCGTATTTACTCAACATCCTTCTGTAGAAGGACATCTCTTGACTCAAGTATCTTCCTCATCTTTGAAAAGATTGTCCAGATAGATAGATTAGTATGTCATAGATAGATAAATAGATAGATTAGTATGGCGAAGATATATAGATAGATAAGTATCTCTAAGATAGATCGTCAAATAGATAGATAGTATATTATACAAATGCTTTTCTTTTCCCTTTACTTTTTATTAACCTCTTTCTTTCCACATTGTTTGTTTGGCTTTAACTCGAGCCTGCATTTGCACATACACGCATGCGTAAGAACCCAGTCATCTAAACATTATTAGAATATGACAAAATTGATAATGTCTCTCATCTTTCGTTAAGCTTTGGTAGCCAGGTCTACATTTTTACATTTTTTAAACTGGCTTATAAAAATATTTTTTCTGCTGTTTTTATTATCTACTAAAGTATTTTTTTTCTATTTTTTGCTTTTAAAATCCGCTGTTTTATGCTCTGTTCGCTATAGTAAATCCCGTATCCAATAACTGAAAAAAAATCCCTTATTTAAAAAATAATAATAATAATAAACATTTTCTGTATTTTTCGTTCATACTTAATTTATTGCTTAAAAGCAGTTCTACATTTGTTGGATTCTTTGTTTCTTTTTCCTTTTGTTCCTCTTTTTATTTCTTTCCTTCTATTCTATTTTTCTTTCTATTCATTTAACCTTTCCTTTTCTTTCACTCTTTCTTTAATTGTTTCTTTCACTCTTTCTTTAATTGTTTCTTTCACTCTTTCTTTAATTGTTTCTTTAATTGTTTCTTTCACTCCTTCTTTAATTGTTTCTTTCACTCTTTCTTTAATTGTTTCTTTTACTCTTTCTTTAATTGTTTCTTTCACTCTTTCTTTCACTCTTTCTTTCACTCCTTCTTTAATTGTTTCTTTAATTGTTTCTTTCAATCTTTCTTTAATTTTTTCTTTCACTCTTTCTTTAATTTTTTCTTTCACTCTTTCTTTAATTGTTTCTTTCAATCTTTCTTTAATTGTTTCTTTCAATCTTTCTTTAATTGCTTCTTTCACTCTTTTTTTAATTGTTTCTTTAATTGTTTCTTTCACTCTTTAAATGTTTCTTTAATTTTTCTTTCACTCTTTCTTTAAGTGTTTCTTTAATTTTTTCTTTCACTCTTTCTTTAATTTTTTCTTTCACTCTTTCTTTAATTGTATCTTTCACTCTTTCTTTAATTGTTTCTTTCAATCTTTCTTTAATTGCTTCTTTCACTCTTTTTTTAATTGTTTCTTTAATTGTTTCTTTCACTCTTTCTTTAATTGTTTCTTTCACTCTTTAAATGTTTCTTTAATTTTTCTTTCACTCTTTCTTTAAGTGTTTCTTTAATTTTTTCTTTCACTCTTTCTTTAATTTTTTCTTTCACTCTTTCTTTAATTGTTTCTTTCACTCTTTCTTTAATTGTTTCTTTCAATCTTTCTTTAATTCTTTCTTTCAATCTTTCTTTAATTGTTGCTTTCACTTTTCTTTAATTGTTTCTTTCACTCTTTCTTTAATTTTTTCTTTCAATCTTTCTTTAATTGTTTCTTTCACTCTTTCTTTAATTGTTTCTTTCACTCTTTCTTTAATTTTTTTTTTCACTCTTTCTTTAATTGTTTCTTTCAATCTTTCTTTAATTTTTTCTTTCAATCTTTCTTTAATTGTTTCTTTCAATCTTTCTTTAATTGCTTCTTTCACTCTTTCTTTAATTGTTTCTTTAATTGTTTCTTTCAATCTTTCTTTAATTTTTTCTTTCACTCTTTCTTTAATTGTTTCTTTCACTCTTTCTTTAATTGTTTCTTTCACTCTTTCTTTAATTGTTTCTTTCAATCTTTCTTTAATTGTTTCTTTCACTTTTTCTTTAATTGTTTCTTTCACTCTATCTTTAATTGTTTCTTTAATTGTTTCTTTCACTCTTTCTTTAATTGTTTCTTTCACTCTTTAAATGTTTCTTTTAATTTTTCTTTCACTCTTTCTTTAAATTTTTTCTTTCATTCTTTTTTTTAAATTTTTCTTTCACTCTTTTCTTTAATTTTTTTTCTTTTCATTCTTTTCTTTAATTGTTTCTTTCTTTAATTTTTCTTTAATTGTTTCTTTCACTTTTTTTTAATTGTTTTTTTAATTGTTTCTTTCACTCCTTTTAATTGTTTCTTTCATTGTTTCTTTAATTGTTTTTGTTTCTTTCCTCTTTCTTTAATTGTTTCTTTTAATTGTTTCTTTTAATTGTTTCTTTAATTGTTTCTTTCATTGTTTCTTTAATTGTTTTTAAATGTTTCTTTAATTTTTTCTTTCACTCTTTTCTTTAAATGTTTCTTTAATTTTTTCTTTCTCTTTCTTTAATTTTTTCTTTTTTAATTGTTTCTTTAACTTTTTTCTTTAATTGTTTCTTTAATCTTTTTTTTAATTTTTCTTTCACTCTTTTTTTATTGTTTCTTTAATTTTTTCTTTCACTTTTTTTTATTTTTTCTTTCACTCTTTCTTTTTTTTAATTTTTCTTTCCTCTTTCTTTAATTGTTTCTTTTTTCTTTTCTTTCTTTAATTGTTTCTTTCTTTTTAAATGTTTTTTTTAATTGTTTCTTTAATTTTTTTGTTTTTTTCACTCTTTTAAATGTTTCTTTAATTTTTCTTTCACTCTTTCTTTTTAAGTGTTTTCTTTAATTTTTAAATTTTTTTTTTAATTTTTCTTTCCTTTTTCTTTAATTTTTTCTTTCACTCTTTTTTTTCTTGTTTCTTTAATTGTTTCTTTCAATTGTTTTTTCTTTAATTTCTTTCCTCCCTTTTTTTAATTGTTTCTTTAATTGTTTCTTTTTTCTCTTTCTTTAATTGTTTCTTTCCCAGTCTTTCACTTTAAATGTTTCTTTAATTTTTTCTTTCACTCTTTCTTTAATTTTTTCTTTCACTCTTTCTTTAATTGTTTCTTTTAATTGTTTCTTTTTAATTGTTTCTTTAATTGTTTCTTTTTAATTTTTTCTTTCTTTTAATTTTTTTTTCATTGTTTCTTTAATTTTTTCTTTCACTCTTTCTTTAATTGTTTCTTTCCCAGTCTTTCTTTAATTTTTAAATGTTTCTTTTAATTGTTTCTTTCACTCTTTCTTTAATTGTTTCTTTCAATTGTTTCTTTCTTTCTTTAATTGTTTCTTTAATTGTTTTTCACTCTTTCTTTAATTGTTTCTTTTTGTTTTTAAATGTTTTTGTTTAATTTTCTTTTTCTTTAATTGTTTCTTTAATTTTTTCTTTCACTCTTTTCTTTAATTGTTTCTTTCACTCTTTCTTTAATTGTTTCTTTTACTCTTTCTTTAATTGTTTCTTTCACTCTTTCTTTAATTGTTTCTTTAATTGTTTCTTTCACTCCTTCTTTAATTGTTTCTTTAATTGTTTCTTTCACTCTTTCTTTAATTGTTTCTTTAATTGTTTCTTTCACTCTTTCTTTAATTGTTTCTTTCACTCTTTCTTTAATTGTTTCTTTAATTGTTTTTTTTCATTGTTTCTTTTAATTGTTTCTTTTCACCTCTTTCTTTAATTGTTTCTTTCAATCTTTCTTTTTAATTTTGTTTTTTAATTTTTAAATGTTTTCTTTAATTTTTTCTTTCACTCTTTCTTTAATTGTTTCTTTAATTTTTTCTTTCACTCTTTCTTTTAATTTTTTCTTTCACTCTTTCTTTTTTTTTTTCTTTTCTTTCACTCTTTCTTTAATTGTTTCTTTCAATCTTTCTTTAATTGCTTCTTTCACTCTTTTTTTAATTGTTTCTTTAATTGTTTCTTTCACTCTTTCTTTAATTGTTTCTTTCCCAGTCTTTCACTCTTTAAATGTTTCTTTAATTGTTTCTTTCACTCTTTCTTTAATTGTTTCTTTCACTCCCTCTTTAATTGTTTCTTTAATTGTTTCTTTCACTCTTTCTTTAATTGTTTCTTTCACTCTTTAAATGTTTCTTTAATTTTTCTTTCACTCTTTCTTTAATTTTTTCTTTCACTCTTTCTTTAATTGTTTCTTTCACTCTTTCTTTAATTGTTTCTTTCAATCTTTCTTTAATTGCTTCTTTCACTCTTTTTTTAATTGTTTCTTTAATTGTTTCTTTCACTCTTTCTTTAATTGTTTCTTTCAATCTTTCTTTAATTGTTTCTTTCAATCTTTCTTTAATTGCTTCTTTCACTCTTTTTTTAATTGTTTCTTTAATTGTTTCTTTCACTCTTTCTTTAATTGTTTCTTTCCCAGTCTTACGGTTTTCTTTCTTTTGTTTTTTCTTTTTTGTTTACTTTTTTCATTTTTTCTTCGTTCTTTTTTTTTTTTTTCCTTTTTTAACTTTTTTCCGTTTTCCTTTCGTTTTTCTTTTTTTTCATTTTCCTTTTTTTAGTTCCTTCATTTTTCTTAGATTTTTTTCTTCGTCCGTTCCACATTCCTTAATGACCATTTTTCGTATTCGATACTTTATTATTTATTTATTTATTTCTTTATAGGATTTTTTTATTTCCCTTTTGTTGTTATTTTTAAATTATCTTTCTTTCCTTTTTTACACTTTCTTCTTTTCTGTTTTCTTTTTTTTCCGACCTTGTGACAAACTAAGCTGAATAGTTTTGATGCTACACAATCACAAACAAACAACTATACCAAATAATAGGAACCATACTTCTCGAGGATTTTCAGCAGTAGCAACAATCAAATAGACAGCACTCAAAACTCGAACGAAGATAGTGATTTTCAAGTGTAGCTTAAATGTGACACAAGGCCGAAAGTAGGAGGCACCCAGTGAGGATCGAACTCACTACTCAGTCGTAATTGTTTTAGCGAGACAAACTTGCTCACTATTACACCGACTCGAGGTGTCCAAAGTGATTTTCCAAGCGTAACTCAGTTGTGGCACAAGGCCGAAAGTAGGGGGCACCCAATAAGGATCGAACTCACTACTTAGTAGTAATTGTTCTAGCGAGACAAGCTTGCTAACCATTACAGCACGTCGAAGTGCCAAAACAACAATGCTAATGACATAATCAAGGTCTTCACGTTTCATACGAGGTCAAAAAAATGGGTTAGATAGAACGTCCCCTTCAGAAACCTATTTTCCCGAAAAATTGTTTTAAGAGAAAGATTTTTATAAATTTCAATCAAAGGTGGAATTGACTTCTTGGTGAATGAATGCCAGATAATTCTTTATTTCCATTTCTGACCACAATGAACAGCGCATAAACGTCTGGCAAGATAGTTACAGTATTTACATTATTCGGGCTATTGTCCTCATCTTTGTTGCCATATTTATAACAACGTTTCGACCGCTGTACGCTACGGCCTTCTTCAGGTGGTTGGAAGGCCGAAGCGTACAACAGCCGAAACGTCGTGATAAATATGGCAACAAAGATGAGGACAATAGTCCGAATAATGTAAATACTGTACATAATACCTCATCTCAGAAATATGAACAGATACTGAAGATAGTTACAGACGAGCCGAAACGTTGTGATAAATATCGCAACAAAGATGAGGAAAATAGTCCGAATAATGTAAATACTGTACATAATACCTCATCTCAGAAATATGAACAGATACTGAAGATAGTTACAGACGAGTCGAAACGTTGTGATAAATATGACAACAAAGATGTGGACAATAGTCCGAATAATGTAAATAGTGTACATAATACCTCATTTCAGAAATATAGAAGATACTGAAGATAGTTACAGAAGAGCTGAAACGTTGTGATAAATATGACAACAAAGATGTGGACAATAGTCAGAATAATGTAAATAGTGTACATAATACCTCATTTCAGAAATATAGACAGATACTGAAGATAGTTACAGATGAGCAAGACTTACATCCACCTTCAATGCCGAAGACACCAGGCGTATATCCAACTGTTCAGTTCAGCGTTCTTTTTGTTTCCATAGGATATGAGAGAAGACTCGCGAGAGTACAGTTGTACACCACGACCGCTAAAGACAGAGCCTCACCTGGTTGGTTGATTGTTTTTTATTAGCATCATATCAATCTCTAACGGTAAAATCTAAACATTTTTTAAGGATTTTGTCCGGGGTAGATAATACCAGTTTTAGTGATACAAGTCTTATTAATTAACCTATAGCTGGGAGAGAAGAGGTCTTTTGTCTGTAAGTTAATATAACGAACTTAATTGGAAATGGAACTCGGTAAGTAACAGTTCTGGGTATGACAATATAAGTCTTACTAATTAAACAATTGCTGGAGGAAAAGAGAAACATTCATACATTTCCCAAGAGTATTAGTGCGTAAATGAATGCAATAAACAGAACAGGAATTGGAACTCGGCTTTCCGATTAATAATTCAATGTTATTATATATTACACCAACCTGGACGTCTGTTTACAGCACCTGGTTTTCCCAGCGGTGACCCATCTAGGTATTGACCAGGCCCGACCTTGCTTAACTTCGGTGATCGTACGGGAATTGGTGTTTCAATTTGATATGACTGTAAGGCAGATCATCAACTGGGTCCGTGAAGTTGTTAATTGGACCATAGAGGAATCGTGTGATTAGTCACGATTCCAGGTGTTTCGAGCTGATAGCTGGGTTCGAATTCGGTGCATAGCAACGTTGTCAACGGCGTTCTGTATATTCACTTATCATGGTTTAGATCTGCCTGCAACAATTCGCCCTTGCATGGAATATTGCTTCCATATATGGTCTGGTGCCCCTTCTGTTTGCCTCGGGGTTCTTGATAGGCTCCAGAGGCGGATATGCAATGTAGCTGGCCCTGCCCTGGCGTCTCGTCTACAGTCACTTTCTCACAGACGCGACGTCGCCTCTCTCTGTCTGTTCTACAAATACTTTCATGGTAATTGCTCCGAAGAGCTGCATTCGCTGGTTCCCAGACTTCATGAGTTCAAGCGCCCGACGAGGCTGGCATCCCGCTCTCACCCCTTCACTGTCGAAACTCCTAAATGTAGCCGTCTCTTCTACTCTAATAGCTTCATGTCTCGCACCTCTCGCCTGTGGAACTCCCTTCCCTATTCCAGTTTCCCTGAGAGCTATAATCTCCAGCTATTCAAGTGTAATGTCAATCGACATCTCCAGTTGCCTTGATCTATCCACCACCCTTCTCCTCATACTCTCTTCTTTCACTCGTATCTGATCTCGCTCTATATTTTCTGTAACCCCTTGCGCCCTAGTGGCTTCCCGCCTTGCTTGGGGTGAAATGCTTAAAAAATATAAATGGCCGATAACCCCTACAACGCCTTGCTTTGTGAACATTTGCACTCATGCATGTACTTCTTCTGCCATACAAAAGATGGGTTATTTCATCAGGATAATGCACACTAAAATCAAGCCCAGGTTGCACCAAATTTGAGTGAAGACGATTACTGAGCTTTCAAATAAATGGTGTGGCCACCACCTTTGCCCGACGTGACGCCACTCGAAAATTATCTAAAAGATATAGTCGGAATACTGTTAACACGCTTAATCCAGTGCCTACAAATATCAGAGAGGTGTGAAGTGTTATCAAAAGGGCATGGATAAACATTTCTCCATATGTCTTGCGACCACTTAAAGAAATAATAATGCGTATGGAGTTGCTGCACATTGCTGTATTAAAGTATATAGCTGTACCAAACTTACAGCAACCGCCGTCTGTCTAACTCTCTGCATTGGCAGGGAGGAACCCGGACGAAGCTTTGCCGAAGGGCAAGGTTTCGTTCGGGGAGGTTATGACAGCTCTCGAACCCGTTTAGGAGGGTCGAAAGCTATATTTTTGGCCGGGCCTGCGGGCTCGGGTGACCACGTAAAACTCGGCCTTGTGCCACATGCGACTCCTCGTGGGGGGGGGGGCAGCTAAATATAGCTGTATTAAAGAGATTTTGAATTCCTATGAATGCATTATAAGAAGAGCTTGCTTTGAGGATTGCTAGACATCTCAGCACTTGCAGAATCGATGCCATGACGAGGTACATATACTATGACTATTTACACTTCATTATATATATATTAATATATTTATTGCTTATACGTTATTTTTATAGATACAAATATTTAAGTAAATGACCTGTTTATAATAAACAATGTTAACAACATTTGCCGGCCCGAATCTCCGAGATATCGCAAAGAAAATATGTCCTCCGACAGGAATCGAATCTGTATTCTACACGAAACCATCATATAGCGTGACGTGCTATACCATTTATCTACAGAGGAAGCTTCTTACTGGCAAGATTAAATTACTGTTTTATCATGACAAATGGTTAGCTTTAAAACAGTAATTAGCCCTAAGAAACAGCAGATATTCAAACAAACTAGAAAACAAAACGAAAATAATTAAAACTAAAACAACAGAAACAGAAATATAATTTTGTTCACCCACCTACAGCAACACAATAAAAACAAAAATAGGAAAAATATTCTACAAAATAATTGACAAATCCTTCCCTAAAAGAGCAAATTATCAACAAAAATACCAACAAAATTAGTCACAGCTGCATGGACAACATGGTGAAAATAATAACTAAGCATAATAAAAATACTCAATAAAGCCAATAACAATTACAACAATAACATACAGAAAATAACACCATTAAATGTAACAGCAGAAACAAAGAAAATTGACCACTTAACAGTAAATGCTTAACCAATAACATAATATACAAAACCTTCGTAAATAATAACATTAACACAAATGAAAAAGTTTACATAAGAGCAACAGATAAAACTATTAACGAATTATAACCACTAAATGTCACCTGAAAGAAAAAATACACAAGCAATAAAAACCCTATCAATATATACATGGAGATATAAAGAAAACAATATCCCCACCATAATCAAATGGAAAACTATGAAAAGTGCAGACCCATACTGTATTAACAGCAAAAATTGTAAATTATACTTAGACGAAAAATTAGATATAATTAGTTTTAAAAAACCAAATAAACTCTTAAACAAGAAAGCAGAACTAATGGGCAAACGTAGGCATATAATTAAATATTTACTTTGATCTCTGAACACTAACTAAAAATAAATATAAATAAAATAAATATAAACCTTAAAAACATAATTCAAACTGTAAATAATTAAATAAAAGAAACAAATACAATATAAAGTCAATTTAATAATCAAATAAACGAACAATATCATAGTACAAAAGAATGAACCAACTTAAGCCACCATAATTAATACCTCAATAACACCCACGCAAAAGAGTAGGGGGAGGAATATGGAGCGGAAGTTAGGAAAGCCGATCTTCTCGTATTAGAAGAAAAGAAAAAGAAAAGAAAAACGGTAAACAATCTCGGGTTTGACTTCCAGGTAAATTATTTCAAAGAATGAGCTTCTTTACAGGTCTTATTTGGAAAGTCAAGCTGCGGTCTACAGTTGACCAGACACAAACATGTATACATAGCTGTGCGCCGGGAAGAGGTAAAAATTAGAATATAAAATACAATAATTAAGTTTTAACTTAGTATAATTAGGAATACCAACTCTTTCAAACTGCCTTGGCAAATCCAGAGTCAGTCAAAACGCCAAAGCTTCATTAAATTCTGCGAATCAAATTAATATTACATTAACACGATTTAATACGAACATATATATATATATATATATATATATATATATATATATATATATATATATATATGTTATAGAAAAGAATAAATTGCAGAGAATCAAGAGAAAAATAATATTAAATTCAGACAAAAACATACATTACTTTCGAGAGTGATTAAATTTCACTCATTCAAGACAGGCAAGCTTCTCTCTTTTATCGGGGTGTTTTGACCAAAGTGAGAAAACTGGGATAGCCACAGAACGCCATAAAGTTTGGGTATGGGGAGGAGGAAGTACGATACACCGTCTTTCTACCACTTGCTTTTTGGGGGAAGGTGGGAGCAGGCCACACTCACTTTTACAACTTTTTCTGTTTTCTTTTAAAAATTAACAAAACAAAATACAAATAACACATTCAAACTGCGTTGGCAAATCCCCAGTCAATAACTACGAAAACGAGAAAGCTTCAATTAAATGCTTCGAATCAGATTATTATTACATTAACACGGCAAGCGTATAATTACAGGCATTAATTATAGAAGATTAGATTTATAATTAAATTAATTATATTTTGTTAGAATTTATGTAATACTTATGATATCACTAAATGCAATCAAAAATGAAATAGTAGCCCAGAAAACATATATAAATATATACATGTGTGTATATGTGTATATGTCTATAACATTAATCATATATATATATATATATATATATATATATATATATATATATATATATAGCCTATGCATTAATATCAGTTATTTTCATAACACGTAAATACACATTCCCTCGGAAAAAATCTAAAAAGCCCATAAATAAAAATAAAGAAATAAATACAAAATAGGTCACAAATCTTGAGCCGGAACAGAACCTGACTAACTTTGCTACAAAAAACGATAAAGAAGGCAAATGATCACGACGCACGTCCGTGCAAACGGCCGTACAAGAGCGAGCGAACAGATAAGCGTACACAAAACATAAAGAATACAGGAGGCAATGTGCAACAGTGTTAAATATGTATAAAAAGAAATGCGAAAATATAAGCAGTAAATTTCTGTTACCCTCTTGAGTCGGGATGCTGAAGGTAACATCAATCAGCTAAGTGATAGTTTTACTCATATTAATCCTATATACACTTATATATATATATATATATATATATATATATATATATATATATATATATATATATATATATATATATATATTGATAATAAAATTATTTTTGTTCAACTCTTTTTGTTGCATGTGGCAATCATCAGGCACAAACAGATATGTGTCTGACGTTTGACACGTGCATGAATCTCAGAGTTGCAACAAACGGGGAGAACAAATATATATGCATTTTTAGCATAAATTTTAGCTGTGTTATTTTACATAGAGCATCATTTTATTACCACCAGCACTCACTCTGCACTATATATATATATATATATATATATATATACGGATGAAAGATATCTTTCGTTGGGTTAAGCGTGGATTGAGGTTCCGCATTTCGCTTCGAGGACAATTATAAATGTAAATCCGTGTAGACGGTGAATGTCATTTTATATCTCCCAGGTAATTGCATACATTTGCGCAAACATTTTGTTTCAGTAGAGACCATGTCTTTGCTGGCGAAAAATCTAGACCCACTTGTCCTAAGGGAGGCCGTTTTATTTATTCCTCATAGAAAATTAAATATACCTGCATTACACCCACGTGTAAGGATCAATTATTCATTTTTCATCAGTAGCGTATATTGCAAATACGCCCACTATCGTACAACAATGTAAAATAAACCGGAAGAAGAGAAGTTTGACATGGAAGGTGAAAAGATTTTTAAAAAACGAAGAAAGAAATAAAAAAAAAAGACGCAGCACCATAATAAAAGACGAAAAGCAAGGAAGAGAATGGATGTAAGAATAGAAACTGCCATATAAGCGAAAAAT